TATTAAATAAATTAAACATATTTGACATGTTGCATATATTTGATATGTTGAATATATTTAATATGTTGCATATGTTAAATATGTTAAACATATCAAACATTCGTAACATTCGTAACATTTGAAACATAGATCGACAATCCCGTGATTAAATTGAATTCTGGTCACGTGATCGATCGATCGCTACACTATTATCATCCTATTATCTAATTGGCACTCTTCATATTTTTTGAAAATTATGTGATGTACTATATAAACTAAGTCCTTTTTCTGTCCTATTGGCATACCATATGACACCTCAGATGAAGTATTATTGACCGATCCCAAAATTTTTTTGGCATCAGACTTGGCTGTAAATGGAATTAACTCTTCACCTTTTAAATAATTCGTATCATGTTTTTCCGTTAACATGTTAAATATTTGATGTTTGATTTTTCTATTGATGTAAGGCTTACTTGTCAATTATTTCGTTCTTTAATCTAGCCCAACTATTTTTTATTGACCCAGGTGTTGATTTAATGAATTTCTTATAAAACGGTTCTTTGAATGTTAATATATTCTTTCCATCTAAAGTTAACAATTGATCCAAAAAGATTATATTCAATTTTCTCAATTTACTTAATGATAAAAATATTGTGTCAGGAATTATTTCTCTTAGGTACTAAAATCGTGTTTTTTTTAGTAAGACAATATTTTCTAAAATGAAAGAATTAATTGTTTTTTAAGAATTTTTTTAAATCTTATGATCATGTCTTCCAATTTTAATGTATACAAAGGATTTTTGATAATAAAAGCAATTCTTGCAATCTAATTTTCATGATCATCCCTAATTCATTTTGGTCATTAATTTGAAGCACAAATTCATAATTTTCGCCTGTAATTGATTATCGTGAATGTTTTTTAATCCATATGTTTCTTTCATGTGTACTATCACATTGGGCACCATTCTTGCAAGACCAAATTTATTCTTGGAAAGCATTCTGAATGGCGCCATCATCTTATCACATTCAGTATCAGTCAACACAATTAATTGATAATTAATACGTTAAATATGAAAGACATCTGCTTATCCATCAATTTTTTTCGCAAGACCATTATTGATTTATTGATTGACAACAATTCTTTATTTCTTCTTTCACTTGATTTAGCATGTGTTTTCTTTGTTGTAGGCGTTAAACCATACACCTAATCTTTTTATCGACCCATTTTTTTGTGGGATTAATTATCATTTTCTTATTATCTCCAAAGATAACTTGGATTTCTTCGCTGTCATCCATTGTATTTTTGACCTTCAACAATATTATTAATTTTTATATCATTTAAGATATAAAATGAATCTGCAATCTCTAAGACCTTTTCCAGATTGTCTTTACAATCCAACATGAAATTCGTATCATCTATATATAATAAACCTGGGAAATTGATAGCAATTGGCTTATCAATATTTCAATTTTGTTTACCATCAACAAATGAAAATTTTAACCAAAAAAAGCTAAAAATATTTGAAAAAAAATCAGACAAAAAAAATTAATAATTAAAAAAAAAAAATTCCAATTAAGGTAAAATTTCATTAACTGAAATTGGATTAGTTGATTGGAATGCACGTAGATCAAATAGTTTTTGACCATAAATAGATCAGGCAGAGGCATGTTATGGGTTTTAATTTTATGGCATGGGATTTCAAATTACACAATTCAAATTATTTATGCAGAGACTAATCCAAACATCAGACAAATTTTTTTAGTTATATAGACTAGCAAATAGGTCAAAATCTTTATTTCATATTAAATTTATTCTGTATTATTAATTGACCTTGTAGCAATAATCAATTGTAATTTATCTTAAAAAAATTATAGATTGTCATTTCTTTTTTTCCTACAATTAAAAATCCCATGTTTTCGGTGAAATTTTCGCAATTTCCTAAATAATAAATGATCAAATGACTAGGAATATGTGAAAACAGAGCATATTTTGGTTCATTCACTGGAAGACATCCAAAAATATTTGGAATTTGGTCTGTATAAATACATGCTGAAATATAAGAAAGTGTATCAATACATCTAGCATTATTGACATAAGAATGATACATAAGAATGATAATTTGATAATTTATGATACATAACTAAGCTAAATAAGTATGAATTAGTAAACTAATTATCATTAAAATATATAAATTTGCAAACAATAATTAATAATTTTACCTGGGCATTTTGATACTTATTATTAATCGAAAATTACTAAACATTGCCTTTACCAGCATATGGAACTTGGGCAGAATTAAGAATATGAATGTAACTCTGCCCAAAATGCCATCCTAATGCTGGTAAAGGCAATGATCGCCCAGGTGATGTTTAGCAATAGTACCCTTAATCTTGTTAATGTTTAAGGGGGAGTGTAATCACGTGACTTTTAATTGACTATCATGGCGCAAAAATTTTTTTGTGCTATTCAGAACGTCCATGTCTAATAAAACATTTGTAAATTACTAAATATTAAAAAAAATATATTATTTTCTTACCTTTTGGANAATAAAACATTTGTAAATTACTAAATATTAAAAAAAATATATTATTTTCTTACCTTTTGGAACCTGAAAGTTCACCAGGTATAGTTTTTATTTAGACTTAAATATTATATTTTGGAGAAAATATCAAAAGAAGTTCCAAAAAGGTTGCGAATCGCTTAGTGAAAGTTTAGAATCTCTCTACTGGAAAACATAATATTATTTTTTTAACAAAAAGCATTTTATCATTAATTAATTTAATATATTTGTATTCTATAGGTATTTTTTCACATATCTTTACAAAAATAATAATAAAATAATACATAATTATTCAAACTAAAGTACTTTTGTTCTTGGCTTCATATTTTAAATTTTTGCACCATTGATAGTCTTATTATAATTCACGTGACTACACGCTCCCCTTAAAGCTGAATAACGCGTCATGTAAATTCTTTGACTAGAATAAGCTTCATGTTTGCGATGGTGTGATATTAAATATGAAATGTCCAATTCTCCTGATGATAAAACACCTGTTTGAAAGATTTCATCACTTTCTTGGATAATTTTTTTATGGTTACGGTACATTTCGCTGAAAGTCATTTCGCCGAAGGAAAAATAGGGCCAACATTATGCAGAATTATTAATAACTCAGGCCAGAGATTATTTTTCGGTGAAATGGCTTTTGGCGAAATGTCCCGATACCTTTTTTTATCTGATTGATCATAAATAAAATCTACTTTTATTTTGACTCTGTTCTATATCATTAGTTTTTTCCAAATTTAAAATGTCATGTGCTAACCAACTCCGCAGCCTCACTAATTTCATTTAATTCACAATTGGCTTTTAATTTCTTCTAACTCATCATCATCTTGATTTAAATTAACATATAATAAATCACTTTCACTAGCTGATATATGTGTAATAAAAGTTCCACTGTAAAAAAGTCTTTTATAAATGACGAATTCAAGAACGCAATTGCTTGTTCATGGGCTTAATGAATAATCAAATCTATTTCATCATCTGTAGGATATGTTGTTAAATTATGACAATAGTTTCTTCATAATAATTCACTATGTAAACACAAATAAATTAATAATAAGGTATAATTGAATTAGGAAATATAATAGTATGAGTTTAATACATATGCATAATTTTGAAACATTTTGCAAAGACAGCTACCATTTTTTCATGGTGATGCTGGGTTGGTTTTGAGAAGCTTATAAATCAATTATTATTGGCGCTGTATATTATTATAATGAATATTTAATTGTAACTTACGTATTCTGAAAAGAGCAATAATTGAATTTCACTTATATTTTTTAAATTTTAATAACTAAATTATAACATTTGAGCATAATTGGGGTGAAAGAATAAATAATATGTAGCATAGTGTGTCAATGTGTTAAGTTATCGGATAACAGATATTAGATTTATCCAAAAATCTGCATAAGTTTAAATCGTCATATTGGATGACTATCCCGCAGTATAATCCAAGTTAATAAGAATTAGGCATTATAGACCAAAATATCTGTTTACTTAATAATTGGATAATTTATATGGCTGTAGCACACTGATTTTTTGTAGTTAGTTATCTAGTATGATGATTTAAACTTAGTTTGATAATATAGATAATTGGATAAATCCAATATCCGTTTATCCGATTAATTAATTAAAGGGTTGACACACTAATAAATGTAGCACAATTTTGAAAAAAGCAGTAAATGGTTAAGGGTATTGCTAAATATCACCAGTGGTGACGGTCACCAGTGGTGGATTTATGATGTAATGCCGGTCAGTGGTTTATTAAATTTTAATTCAGGCCAAAAGTGCATCTTAATGCTGGTATGGTGACAATCACCGCTGGTGAGCTTTAGCAATTTTCAATGGTTAGTAATACTAAAATTAGAATATTTGAACGTCCTATTCCAATAATATCTTTATTATTCATTGGAATTGAGGTGAAAGAATGATATGTAGCATAGTGTCAATCTGTTAAATTATCGGATAAACGGATATTGGATTTATCCAAAAATCTGCATTATCAAACTAAGTTTAAATTATCATATTGGATGACTATCCCGCAGTATAATCCAAGTTAATAAGAACTAGTTTATATGGTCTGTAGCACACTGATTTTTATAAAATTTAGGTTAATTTATGATATCAGACTATACTGCAGGTTAGTTATCTAACATGATGATTTAAACTTAGTTTGATAATGCAGATAATTGGATAAATCCAATATCCGTTTATCTGATTAATTAAAGGATTGGACACACTAATGTAGCACAATTTTGAAAAGAGCAATAAATGGAATTTCACTTAAATATTTTTTAATTTTTTAATAACTAAAAATTATAACATTTGAGCATCCTATTCTAATAATATCTTTATTATTCATTAAAACGTTTTTGTTTCTCTACAAGAAATAAATAGTTATTTTCAGAAATTAACTTACTATTATCACTATTATTGACTTAACTACTAGTACAATATTATTATGACAGACATTCAAGAAAAAACAATACTTCTTATTGGCACTACAGGTAGTGGTAAGTCTACCTTAGGTAATGTGTTAATTAACAAGAATGGTAACTTTGAAGAAGTATTTGCAGAAGGCGAATATAGTGTTAGTGAGACAAGGAATATTAAATCTGAAAGAGTGGAAATAGAGGGAATTAATTACAGATTAATTGATACTCCAGGGTTTGGGGATACATCCCTTGAAGTTATTAAAATTCCTCCTACTTTAGGAGAATTGAACGAATACATTCAGCTTGGAGTAGATTATGTTTTTTTTGTGGTCAATAAAAAGTTTGATAACAAAAATTTAGACATTTTTAAATATTTGAAAGAAATTTTTTTTGATGATGATGTAGTTAAGTATATCACGATTATTTTTACTCATTTCCCTAAGTTCAAAGTAAAAGGAATATGTGAGAAAGGCATAGAAATATTGAGAAATGAAAGTGAATCAATTGCCGACATAATAAATAATGTTAATATTATATATGTAAATAACGCTACTATTCTTGACGATAACGATGTCTCTAATAAAAATGCTAGAGAAGATTCCAGAAAAAAAATTCTGGATCATTTAAAGTTATTTCAAAATGAAGAAAAGTGCAAACCTAGATTGGGTGATTTACATGAAAGAATTAAAAAATTGAATGAAACAGTTTTAACACAGAAGAAAGAACAACTTAACGAAACTGGTGAATGGGTAGAGAGGTTAAGGATTTTCATTGAATGGAGAAAAAGTATGAAAGAAGTAATAATGAGTTATATGACAACTTGGTCCTTTCATGTTAAAAATTGTGAGATTTCGGCAGGACGCGGAAGACATATTAATATAGTAGGAAAAGGTTTTAGTGGTGTTAAAAAGCCACTAGGTCTTGCAATAAGTGTTGCTGGTAACGCGGTTGAATTTGGTTGTGAATTTATTGAAGTTGCTGTAGAACATATATACTATCATAAGATTTCAAATAGGATCAAAGAAGATAAAGAAAAAAGGTCGATGCTTTTAAGAAAAGAATTAAGTAATCAAATTAAAGATCATGAAATTTTAAACAGAGATTCAACTGAGATAAGAGAAAATTTAACTTGGCTTCATGATATAAGAGATACATTTGAAAAACTGTGTGTGTTAGTTGAGGAACGAAGGACTAATTATGGTGAAAATTCTGAGTCTAATGAAACAAGTGGAATTAATGTGACTGATCAAGATGAGTCAGTTGAAGTGAAAAACTACTTTTATACAATAATAAATAAACAAAAAAAATTGTTTCGTGATAAATTGCGGGAGGATGATAAACTTCTAGAAATAGAGCAAAAAGAACTCCAAGAGAAATATAACATCAAAGAATATGAAGTAAAGGAACTTGAGGCAAAATTAGAGAAAGAAAATTTAACTTTTTTCTCAAAGGCTCAAATCTAAGTTTCTTCTAGGCAAGATTAGTAAGCCCGTTTTCGATTTCTATATATATGGCTTATTTTAGTCAGAAACATTAGTGAATAAAATTAATAGTTATACACAGAATAAATGAAACAAGTCTTAAGATATATTTTTTCAATTTTATAGCGTAATTTCAGTACTTTGGTTAAATGAAATAGGTCTAGGAGGCTTAAGTAAAGTTCTATAGCATATAGGGAATTATTCAAATATTAATTTTTATAAAAATAGCTTAAATATCCTCAAAGGTATGAATATTTTTATGTGAAATTACTGTGCCGCGCGCAACTGATTTTTTCACTTTATGGTGTAATTTTAGCGCTTTTGTTAAATGAAATAGGCCTTTGAAGAATAAGCAAATTCATTCTGCAGGTGTAAAAATTACTTAGATAATAATTTTTATCAAGCTGACTTAAATATTCATGGAGTAATTAGCATTTTTTAAAGATTTTAAATAGTGTTTGTTTATTTGTTTATTAAATTTAATAAAGTGTAAAAGCATTATTTTTTAAATGTTCTTATTGTAAAAGTGATAAAATATTTTTTTTATTGTAATATCCTAAGAAAAAAATATCACTTTTTTTCTTTTTTTTTTGATTTCGGCTTTTTTAAGATAAATGTTAGTATAAGCCAATCAAAATTTAGACGCCACAAAATCACGTGGGGAAGAAAATTTGTTGGTAAATAGCCGACTCCTCGTCGTTTTCCTCAAATATTTCGCTCAGGGCGTCAGCAATCTCGTCATCCTAACCACTACTTATATTCTTTGTTCTTGATATTCGTACTCTCCTATTTCTATATTGCTTAAATGCTCTTTCGGTGATGTCGAGTGTCGACGCCAAATAAATATTCAGTTCTTTTGTCTTATTAACTAGTTTCGTTTTAGAAAATCTAATTTATACTATTTTCATTATAGATTTTTCGTATAAGTTCTGTAAATCGTTTGATTTCATGTTGATTCGTGTTCAAGTGCTTTTGGAATTTGAATATGCACGTAGTAACTATTCCTCTTATTAGGCCAACATACGTCCCTGACGCTCTTAGAAAATCTGCTATACGTTCGTCTTCTTCTTCCGGGTTCATGTTGGCCTGAAGTAAAATATCACTTTGCTCGTTTATATCTTTCTTCGCAAAGTTCTCCAAAACACCAAAGACTTCTTTTGACACGTTTATACCCATATTTTAAAACTTTTAATGAAAGTCCTATTGTAAAAGGTTTCAAAAAATAAATTTGCTGCGGATTTCTATTGAAAATGACAGAAAGCGGAAAGAGTTTTTCAGTTCTATCTCTTTTTGAGAGTTTTTGTTCGTTAGAAGATGTGTTTTGATTGCGATAACACATTTAGGGTAGTGTTTCGATCCGGGCAGAAACCGTCATCCGGATAAATTAAAAAAAATATCCGGTTTCTATCCGGATTATCCGACTCGGATAAAAATCCGGATATATCCGGGTAGAAACCGAAATCCGGATAAAATTATTTAAATTTTTTTTACTGTAGATCATTTTTAATAAATAAAATTCGTGGCATTCATTTAATTTAATGTGGCATTTAATTAATTAAATATATGGCATTTAATTAACTACTAAATTCGTGGCATTTATTAAATTTATGACAATTAAATTTCGTGGGATTGATATAAAAATTTATTTATAGCATTTATTTTTTTATTTATAAATTTAAGTACAGTTAGTTAATGTAGTCCTAAGCCCTAACCAAAATAAATAAATACTGTAATCATTTTCTTGGATTTTTTTGTAATTTCACTTGAAACATATTTTTGAATAGTGGAAAATAATTCATAAAATTATGGAAAACAGTAACGTTCAAGATTATATTACTCTAAGTGAAAATGAAGAGTCCAGTGATGAAGTTACAGAAATTGCTCTAATACTAAAAAGAGGATGACCTAAAAAATTATCTAGGACACTTGGAAAATAAAGGATGATAAGTGCTAGTAAAATAAGTTAACTATACTTGAATTAACAAGTCAAATATCAAATAATCCAAATCCCTTTAAACTAACTACTACAATGACTAAACCACAAACAAAAGTGAGTTGGGTATGGGAATATTTTGTTAGAAAACAAAGTGAAAATGGAGAAATACGTGCATATTGTCAGTTTATATCAGATAATGGAGAAAATGTACAAAAAGTTATAAATATGATGGATCTGTTGTTAAGCATGGAATAACACCACCCACAGAACACATTATATCTGAAAACAAATCAATAATAAATGCCGCGAATTTAATATATTAAATTCAAATTATGTGACAAATCTTGTGACATAACTTAAAATTTTTCCTTGTGGTTAACGAATAATTAAAACAATAAAAAAAAATATTTAAAGTAATCATATATAATATTTTAACTCATCTGAAAATATATGAAATGTTATGATTTAAATTTTTTTAAAATTTTTTTTTATTTTTTATCCGGATTCCGGGTCAATCTGACCATTTTTTATCCGGATATTTATCCGGGTAAAAACCGTAATTATCCGGATACCTAAAAAAAAAAATTATCCGGGTTTATCCGGTTGAACCCAGCAACGGATCGAAACACTAATTTAGGGTGTAAATCAAGAATTAAGAGGACATCTATTACACGCGGTTAAAGCTAAATGTTGTATTCGCGGGGTTATTGCCGAAATATATTCACAATAAATTGCTTCATTACTTTCATCAATTGTCCCCATATTATTTAACCTGAGATGTATATCTTTAAGACAATGTAAAAAATAATCAATTTTGTATTTCTTTATATAAATGATGCAATATTGTAAGACAAAAGCGAAAAAAAAATTTTTATTTGGTGCAAATTGTGGCATGTCTATTATTCGACCAGATTCAACTCATGCTTCGTTAGCACCTTTCTCAGGTCTTTCTTAGTTCTGTATGATGAGGGCGATCTCAACTTTTTCTTTTTGCACTTCTTAGCAAAATTTGCGAGACTATATGCTAGACGACTAGACCACTAGGCATTCCCCACCTTTCATAACTTTCCTGAGTCAAGATAAGGAAACTACGACCTCTAACCTCTCGCTTGCGAATTATTTCCAAATATTCCAAGTCCACCTCATCAAGTTCTAAGTTCTTTTTCAAGAATTTTGATAAGCTCCTCTGTTTTTTATTTTTTAATTTCTTCCGCTTTCACATATTTCGCTTTCATGGTATTTGTTTTCATATTGTTTGGAATTTTTTTTTTTTGGGTAAAAAAGTTTCGTAAAATTCTTTCTAAATTCTTTCAAAACACATGATTTCTCTTTTCTTTCTTCTTAATACAACACTTTCATTCTTTCTAAAGTGCCTATATATATAAATACCGTGCAATCGGGTATTAATTAAATTAATGAGATTTTATTTAAAATTTCTTAATACTCTTTAATCTCCTTAAAGAAATAATTCATTTCATATTTTCAAAAAATGAATTTTAAAGGGGACAGTGAATTAGTATAAAATGGAAGAAAATGTTAATAACCGTTCAATATCTGACGCAAAATAACGGTTTCATAGATTTTCATTGATTCCAATTTTAGGCAATGATGCCCTCAGTGATGACTTCTTTGACATAAATAAATATTTAAATATATTGTAAATCATTATAAGTCGAACCTTTGTGATGATTAAACTATCCAATGTATTATTTTATTATAAATTTAGAAATGTTAACTGTTAAGAAAAGTCAAAAAGGCAATTATTTGTTTTATTTGTTTTGCAACGTAAATATAAAATTTCTAAATGCAACCACCTGAAACAGGTGATTTTCATTGTGTGATACTGATCGCGTGACAGTCGTGACACCGACGAAATAAAATTTTTCTTTTTTTGGTATTCACGTTTACAAAAAAAGAAAAAAATTAGTTGCTAAGAAAAGTCAAAATGTCAAAAGCTGTTTTTTTGTTTTGCAAATTTAAATTTATAATAAAGATGATTTTCATTGTATTGTCACGAATGTCATGCAGAAGCAAAAATTATCTTTTTGACCCTGTACGACATCCTTTTTTGACCCTCCTATATGTAATACAGTATATGCGGGTCAAAAAAAATAACACGAGGAGGTCAAAAAGGTAATTTTTGCCACGCAGAAATTTGAGCGTCCTGTTCACGTGACACAAACGAAATTAAAAAAAAAATGAAAAAAAATAAAAAAAAAATCTTTTTCGTAAATTCTTGTCCAAAAATTACTGCAGATAAAACTACGTACAGAGAAAATAGAATGCAAAGGAAAACGACATTCCAGAATTTACCAAAGACCTTGAAGAACAACACCTATTGTTTTTCTATATATAGAATATTTAAACGTAAAAGTTTTACAGTGCAATATATGGGAATTAACAATATATAATATCTTACAGTTTCTAATTTTCGTTAGTATTATTCTGTTGAAAGATTTAAATGAAAAAATGTACAATATTGTGTAATGACTTTTTTAGACTTTTTTTGTTTATTTTTTTGTTATAAATAGAAGAACTTTAGAGATTTTTTATGTTCAATTTTTGAACCCACTCTATATACAATTATTTTAAAGTCTTTTATTTTTTTACATTTCAAGAAACTCTATACAAAATGAATTTTATTCAGATTCAATCATATATAGGATTTTGGATAGGTGCAGTTGTTATGGTAAATCTTTTATTTGAGTCAATTAAAAAGTTATTTCTTTAAATATCAATATTTTATTCTTTTTTATAGATATCTTTTCATAATTTGTTCATTTCGGTGATAATGTACAAAGCTCGTCAAACAAATACTTCGAATATGCTTAAAATTATTTTCAATTTTGGTAATATCATGCGTTATGGAACTATTCTCGGTCTTTATATGACACCAAAAATAGCTACGCACACTCAATGTATTGCTCTTCTGGAAGTTACAATGATCGGAAATATTATAGTGAGATTATCATTATCAGCGTCCTTGTTATGGCGTTTAAGACAAATACGTAACGTACAAAATCATAGGTTAGATAAATGGATAAGTATTATATTATTTTCAATAAAAGTTGCACTGTCGGTAGGTTTTTTGTTAATAATAGTTTACTCTCTTTATTAAATAATAATAATAATAATAATAATCCACTATTATTTTCAGATTCCATATCTTATTTTTCAACGGGCATCTACCGAATACGTTCCTGAAGTCGATGTAGTTATTTGTGATGTTGTCACTCCTAGTCCTCTACCTTATGCTGTTAGTGGAATTCTCGTGGAATTTCTTATCGATATATTTGTAACTTTCCGCTTAGTTCAAATATTAGTCAGTGCTAATAAGAATGCTTTTCAACTATCAACAAATATTAAAAGCAAACGATCATTATTCACAGCTGTTATGTATTGGAATTTCTTGCGATTATTCATATCTTTCATCTTTCATATTCAAGCTATTACGGATATTGTAAAATTCTCTTCCGAAGTACCATCATTTACTGTAAAAGGAATAATAACTATTGCATTATCTTATGTAATTACTACTGATGCTGAGATTGTTCGAATCATTGAGGGAAAAGATAAAAAAAAAGTATCAAGTGGTGGTTCGGCAGGAACCGAAAAATCACTCAAAAGTATACATAGTTCTCATTATAATAGTAACGATCTCCCTAAATATTCATCGCATGCTCAAACCAGTTCAACTCACAGTCAAATTGAAAACAATAAAATAGCTGTTGTGTCAATGAAAAGATTGTCGTTCTTTGAGTGGGCAAATGTTGTAGTAGGGAAACGTCTCTGTAGAAATGATGATGGAGAAGAATATAAAGAAGATAATAAATATGATAATGGGAATACGGAAGAAATAATAGATACTAGTCTTCCAAAATCATCTAAGATAATGATCTAGAAAAAGATCTTTCATATAATCGAAGTAGTAGTAATTTTAGTGGCGTACCTTCAGTAACAGAAATGTCAGCGCTTGATGAAAATCGTTGTTATCCAATAGTTTATAATTCTATAACTCATAATTCCATACCACGAACAATTTTTAAAAATATAAAAAATTAGATAGTATTTATTCTTCATTTATTTAGTATTTTGTATTTCTCTGTCTATTTTTCTCCACTTTACTATTTCTCCTTAGAAAAATGTATATTATTATATTATAGATAGCACTCTTTTCTGCATTTATTTATACATAATTCTTAATTACGTTATAAATGTATAATAAATTATAATCTTCGCAAAGCGAATAATTTTACCTTTAATTAAAGTTATTCCTATAATCAGTTTCTGCTTTTTCAGTAAATACAGTATACGAATTGGCTAGTATGCTGTGTAACAGAAATAAAATGCCAAGTCTTTATGAACAAAAAAATGGAAATGAACGTGCATAAAAAAAAAAATCTTAGTTAGTTTAGCACTTTAGCTCGTATTACAATGTTCTAGTGCTTATTTTGTAAACACCCTCTTAATTTCTTTATTCACTAATAAAAATCCACATATTTTTCATTGGTTTTCCTACTTTTTACCTTGTTCTTCACTACTCTTTTTACATGTCTTTTCATGCGATTATGAACGACAATAATAATTTGAAAGAGCAGCTAGAAATTTAAAAAAAAACAAAATGATATGAAAAAAAAGGAAAAAAAATGCGAAAAATTAATTAAAAAAAATACAAAAAATTAAAAAAATAATTTATTAGAAAAAAACAATTTGTTTTTCTATTTTTATTTCTAGAAGAGTAGTTATCGGTATCTATAACATTAACAGTATATATATACATAAAGGAATACAGGGACTATTCAGGTTATTAGAATTGCGAATCTAATCCCACAAAGTAGTTATGCAAGACCTCACCCTTCGAACTAAACTATACTGGTAGGAAAACTACGCTACTACCAGCACTGAGAATTAACGTAATTTGCATCTTAAAAATTTTTTATATATTTTTTACGCGAAATCACGTGACTTCGATTAAAAGATGCAAAATCCCAATACTTGAATTTCTTCCAACCCTCTTCTTTATCCTTGCTTTTTCTTCTTCGTCTCCTCGTTCTTCTTCTTCTTCGAAATTCGTGGCTTAATTTACATTTTTTCTTAAAAATTTTAGATTCTATTTTACCATCTTTTCATGTAGGCGCAACTTCATCTTCAAATCCAGCATCTACTTCACTACTATTAGCGTTAGTTACTTCAGCAAAATCCACTACAGCTGCTTCTACGCTGTTGCACTTAAATATAAATCCAATTACAGAGAATAAACTTGAAGTATGAGTATTAATAGTGTTGAAACTATTGGAACTATTGGGACAATGGATTCCGATCCTTGAAGAAATTACAAATACAATATCATCGTGAAGCTATGTCAATAGGACATGAAATTTAAAGTGAGGCTGCACGCCAGGACCTTCAAATTTATAGTACCACTCAAATGGAAAATCAAATGAATAAGAAAAATAAAAGCCAAAGAAATATGAAGTAAGAGATTTAGTGAGAATTTCTATTCCAAAAAATGATCGTCCCACACTTCCAGATGTAAAATCATACATCTCTTAGGATCAAAATTTGGGATTATTGAATATTAGTTTATATTATTCACCCGGAGAAATTGAGCCACTTGGTATAATGTCTTTCCCTAAACTCTGAACTTAGCAATTTGCCTTCTAAAAAAATTGTCAGAGAAGCTGCACGTTTACAGTGTGCTGGACCAGTTACAGGTACTATTTGTAGTAAAAATTGTGAAATAAAAATTATACACAGTGCTGTTTTTAATAAAACTTTATTTAACTAAATGCAATACAAATACTATACAGCAAATATAAATCAAAAGTTTGTCCTACAATAAAAAATAAATGACTAAAAAACTCTGAACATAAATTCAAATATTAAATACCCTTCCAATAATTCTGGACGTTAATTTCAAGTCTCCAAATTGAAATCTGCAAAAAAGGGAAGTAAGATGTTCTTGACAACACTTTCAAAAATACCTTATTCAAGAGTCTCGAACGTCAATCCAAGCCTTTAAACCTAAAACTTATAAAAAAAAAAAAAAGTAAATACCAATATGTGTCCTTATTTTCTCATTCTTTATCCATCAGAAAATATCGTAATGTTGCATTTTTGCAATATCTGCAGTGATAAAATAAATGTTATAAAATCGATAGTTTTATAGGACCCCGAACAATATATAAATAGGTCATAGAAAATTGGCAAAATTTTACTATTAGCTCTACGCATTTTTTCAGGGCCGGAATTATGATAATGTCAGTCAGTTACTAAATAAAGTAATATATTTCTTACCAACGTTATCAAAATTTATCTAAAAAAGGAAAGATTTTCATGATTATTTTAGCCTATTCTACGCGTTATTTCTTGTTACCTATTTCAGTATTGCTCGGGGTCCTAGTTTTATGCATGTTAAAAGATAATATAAAATTTTACTCTAGAATTGAAAGAAAGGTCGGAAAGGAGTTTGAAAATATTTGATACTAAGAATAAATTAAGCATCCGATAAAGTTAAATTAATCATAATTTCTCGTTCGCTGTCAAACAATATAGTTAAATCGAATTTAACTAGTGTAGCGACAAATGACAGATGAATTATCATTTACATTTGCCGTTTGGTTTTAACTGGTTGATTGACCAATTAAGACAATTAACCGCTGGTTAAAGCATCTTAAATTTTGGTTTTATTATCAATATTGCCAATCACCTGTATTCTAATTTCTAAAGGGTCAAAGGTAAAAATGTTGTGGCGTATTTACACCTGTTCCATACAATTTAACAAAAAATAGAGCATACGTTACTTTTCCTTAAACTTTGCCAATTATTTCAACTTTTTAATTCATTTTTAACCTGCAGTAGTTTCGAACGATCCATTACATTTTCGCTACATTAGATTTTAACATATTGGCTGATATAAATTTTACCAAATTACGTTTATAAGATAGCCGATAAATGAATTCACTTTAAGTTTACACGTTTGTAATTTTAAAGATTACTAAAAACGATTTTTAATAATTCATAAAAAAAAATTTCAATAATACAAACCAAGTCGTTTATTATCTCATGTCCGAATTAATTTAATCGATATACTTTAAACTAAAAATTGTAACTTTTAAATTTATAGAAATTTTATTGCTCTCTATTGTAATATAAAATAAAATAGTTATTTTACAAAGAATATTTATTCCAATATTTTCAAAATATTCATTTAATTCTGTATCAACCTATTAAAATCTTCGATGGTAGAATTAGGCTAATTCCGGCCAATTTTTCCATGTTCCATACAAAATACCTAATTTTTTTAAATACGAGGTATTTTAGTCAGTATAATACGGTAAATATTATATCCTAAATATTGAAGAATGATAAGTAATAATATATATTCCTTAACTTATAAGATTTCGACATTGTGTTTTGGTGGAATAGAAACTATTTATCATAAACCAGGCGTCTTTCAAGGCCGGAATTATGTAATGCTGGCTATATTTCCAAAAAAAGAAAGAGTGGAATGAAATTACTAATTGTAAAACGTTATACAATCGGCATGTTGATGATCTCAATGTAAAGGCTCTTTTTTAGGATTAAATGTTTGAGGCTGACATTAAGTTTAATGAGACAATGACACATTTACTATAAAAATTATTTGTTTTCTACCAAACGATAAAGCAACTAATATGGCACTTATTTTTACAATAAATATGCCACTTAAAAGAATTAATAGGGTAAATAATTGTTGCATTTTTCAACTGCCGGATTTAATAGAAAATAATTATTAACTTAATTATCTCTATTAGGAACTGCAATATTTAGGACTAAGCACGCCGTCATCGTGTAGTATCAGTCCTTTTGACGATGATCTTTTTCATTGGCAGGCTACAATTATTGGCCCTGTAGGTATTTTTTTTTTGCTGAATTTAACACGCCTATATATCAAGTTCATTCTAACTACTTGATATTATATTTTGTTAAGTCCGACTCTCCATACTCGGGTGGTATATTTTTCCTTGATATTTATTTTCCATCAGATTATCCGCTTAGACCACCAAAGGTATACTTTGTTCATATAATTGTAGCATATTTTAATTATGTACTTACATATTCTACACTAGGTTCGGTTTATAACAAGGATCTACCATCCGAATATTGACAATCTTCGCTATATAAATCTGGATTTTCTTCTATGGACACCTGCGTGTGATATTCCAAAAGGTATTAAATCGGCTACAGAAATGGTTGCTAATCTTTTATATAAAAATTTTAATCAAACTTTTATTATTCAAGTACTTTTGTCAATTTGTTCATTGTTAACTTACCCAAACCCAGGTATTCATTTCATTGAGTTGATTGGTAGATTTTGCCATTAAGTGACATAACTCTAACCAATCATTTCATTGCTTTCCATAGATTGGTATAATTAATTATTTGATTATTGTACTTTATATTTCAATTATTTACATTTTAATATTAGATGATCCACTTGTGCTTGGAATTGCTAGTATGTATAAGAATGATCGTAATCGTTATGAAGCTACTGCTCGGGAATGGACTCGCAGATACGCCAGTTAATATAATTAATGACATGACTTTTGCATTTTTCAATGCGCCTATATATATATTTTTTTATTTGGTTACTAGCTTCATTAATAATAACTAAATAATTATTTTCTCAAGTGAAATTATCACAACTGATATGGTTATTGAAAGTTATAGGAAGTAATTATAGAAAGAAATTTATTTACTTTAAATAAAGTTAATAATTATTATAATTATTAATAATTTCAAATTATCAAAATAATTACACGACTTAGGATGTAAACCGCCATCGGAGATTGCGGTCATTTCGACTACAATTATAATAATATTTATTTCATATTTATTACTTCGAAGATAAAGTAAATTTTATATATACAAAAAATCTTTTGTTACCGAACATTAAAAAATTATTTTGTTAAACATTGTGATAAACAAAGAAATTCTTTTCTAGGATTCATTAAAATATAAATAAATACTTAGTCGCATATGCACCAAATCTATGGACTATGGAGTTCGCAAATTCATGTGCTGTTATATCAAAATTATTACCACAGCTGAGGAAAGGAAATTTTTTTTTTATTTTTTAAAAAAAAAAAGTATTATAACAATCAATTTTATAAAGATATAAACCAAAAGATGTATAATAAATTTATAGAGAATACTTATTAATATGTCCTTATTATTGGTCCTTGTTATTGGGAATTTTTTTTAGTTAATGCTAAGGTTAAAAAATTGCGACCAAAGGCCGTAAAATTTGAGTAATAAAAATTCAACTTTTTTAACTTTTTTAATAAATATTACATACCGCTTGTTTCATCGCATTTAATGATATACAAAATTTAAAATATTTAACATACTTCAACGGATTAATGATAGTTTTGATGATTTAGACTTGTGAAAATAGATTTTTAATTTATCTATCAAATTATATTTAATTTAATTGATTAAATTCAAAGAATTTTTTTTTTATTATAATTTATTCAATACATTTTCATTTTTATTTTCTGCTAATTACAAATATTCATTCTAACTACTACTACTAATGATCCAAAAAATTTTTTTCCGAATAGTACTGTAGTATAACGATGATGAATTATTTGATTAAATTTCTAATAAAATTTCATAAATATTTATTTGTTCCCATAAATTTTGTAACTATGAAAATTAGAATTATGATAATTTTCGTTTACTAATAATATTCATCATATTCATCGGTATCGCATGACAATTCCGTTACGGATCGACAAGACGACAAAGGGGAAAAGCCATATGATAACAAAATTTATAATGATAACTCATTTAAGTAAAGCAATTTTTTACATAATAACTAAATCATCCAATTTAATTTTATGATTTTATATTTAAAGAAAAGTCCCATTCTTTTCAATGCCTACTAAGTAATATAATGATGTCATTTAAGTAAAAGTAGTTTATTTATTACAGAATTGAGTTAGAAATAAAATATCATTATATAAATTTTAGCAAACAATTTTATAATTTATTATTATCAAAGCATAATATTGCTAGAATGATTAAATGATTATGGAAAGCCGTCCTTGACAAAAGGTTGATGTCCAAACATCATGAAATATAATGTTTAGACATCATGATGGTATGTCTAGACATCATGTTTGATATATGTAGGATGATGTTTGTACATTATTTAACATGATGTGAAAGACATCAACCAACATGATGTCTAAACATCATGCTGATCAAATTACCAGATATAGTATATTTATGAGTTACACAAAATAAAATTTACTATATTTGGTAACATGATGTCTAAGACATCATGTCGGTTGATGCTTGAGCATCATGTTGAATGATGTACAAACATTATTCTACATATATCAAACATGATGTCTAGACATTATCCAACATGATGTCTGGATATCAACCTTTTGTCAAGGACGGCTTTCCATATTTGTCAAGGACGGCTTTCCATAAATGATGACTTCACTTATGCCGATCAATTGTAACCCAGGTTTATACTATACTATTTATAGAAATTTTTTAATGAATGTTATACATGTTGTACAAGAGTTTATTTGCGAATATATATACCCGAACTCCGTTACTTTTTTTTTTTTTTTACGCTTCAATTTATTAAAGTAATAACGTTATTTGTTATCTTTGAATTTAATAGGTAGATTGCAATCTATATATATACAGTAGGCGATCAAAAGTATACGGACACCTTGTTTTACGAAATTATGTAGATTACCATATGGTCATATGATACGAATAACACATGATTTTGAATTTAGGATCATGATAAACAAATGCACTTAATTTTTCAGACTTTCCTTTATTAGTTAATTTTTTATCAAACATGGAATCATTTGCACTAAAATCATCAAAAACATTAAGATTAGGAATCTGGTTTTAAACTTACTGAAAATCTCTGGGCAGATATAAAAACAACTATTTACCTACTTTCTGGCATACTTCACTATCATTTTAACTTAAAAAAAATAATAGAGAATGCACAAAAAAAAATATTTCTTCAAGAATATTATAAGAAAACTAATCAATATGATGCATGGAAAATTGAAGTAATTCCTGCCATAAATTAAATTATTAGCGTTTATATTTATATGTAATTCAATAAATGAAGATGAAATAAATATGTTTACTTTATATTTTAGTTTTATTTTATATTAAATGTATGAGAATTTTTTTAATTTGAGAGGTGTCCGTATACTTTTGATCGCCTACTGTATATACAACCCAAATCGTATGGAAATATTCAAAATGAATTCTAAAGAAAATCTTAAAAGTTTATGGAAGAGATACGATGATGAATATCAGGTAAAACAGTTCACATTATTACTATTAATAACATTATTTTTTAAATAGTAATAGTTTTTTTTTTTAATTATTTATTATAAAAGGATCATGTCATTACAAATTCTACTATAGATCCAACTACTGAATTAATAGAAGAGGCAGCTGAAAAAGTAGTTTATATGAATGACTTAAAAAAAGGAAAACAAGTATATGAAATATGTGGGGACTGTAATGAACCTGGCACAGGAAAATATTGGTGTCAACCTTGTAATGCTAAAAGATTTAAGGATAACTTTAAAAATTGGACTAGTGGAAATAAAGATAATGATGAATTTATACAACAATCACAACTTAATGCTGTGCACTGTAAAAAATATCTTGAATGGATAACTTTTGAAAATTTTAAAGATATTACTTATATTACCAGAGGTGTATTTAGTAAAATTTATTCGGCTGAATGACCTGAAGGATGTATTCATTATTGGGATATTGAAAATCAAAAATGGATAAAGTATGATAATAAAAAAGTTGCATTAAAAAGTTTGGATAATTCTTCTTGTATAAGTACAGAATTCTTAAATGAGGTAATTAAAATTAGTAATGTAATCTATTTACTTGATTTTATTTATGTATTATTTATATATTTATTAAAAATTTTTCGCTTTTCATTATTTTCATTAGATTAAATCTCATCTTCAGATTTATACTTTTGATGTTATTCAATGTTATGGAATAACTCAAGATCTAAATACCAAAGATTATATGATGGTTTTAGAATATTGTAAATGAGGAAATTTGAGAAATTATTATATTAATAATGAATCATATTATTATTTAAAAATTAATGAATTTCTATTTATTGCAAGTGGACTTTTAGATATTCACAATGCTGGAAAAGTTCATAAAGATTTTTATTTAGCTAATATATTATATGATGATAATGAATGTTTATATATAAGTGATTTAAGAATGTGCCAACCAGCAAATAATGAAAAGTAATCGGTTAAACAAGAAGGAATTTATGGAGTATTACCTTATATGGCACCAGAAGTTTTACGTGGATATCAATATACAAAAGCATCTGATGTTTATTCATTTGGAATAATTATGAATGAATATTTATCTGAAGAAACTCCTTATAATAATATTCCTCATAATCATTGCTTTAGCTATTAAAATATGCAAAGGACTTAGACCAAATATTTTTAAATATACACCAAAATTACATGCAGATTTGATTACTAAATGTTGGGATGCTAAAGCAGAAAATAGACCAACTGCTAAAGAATTGTTTCAAGAACTCAAGAAATTGCAAGAATATCAAGTAAATGAAGATGATAGTGATATTAAATCTCAAGTAAATGAATATGATGATAAGATTAAATTAAACCGAACAAGTGAGAAAAGATCTAATAACATTCAAACACATCCACAAGCAATCTATATTAGTAGACTTTTAAATTTCAAAAATCTTCCAGAACCAGTAAATTCAGGTAATTTAAATTAATTACTTTTTAACAAAAAGTATAGTATTTATGGTGCTAGTTGTTGTATATTTTCTAACAGGTGCTATTCAATCAACATTATGTAAGTAATTATATTTATTGGTAATTTATATTATTAGTAAGTTAGTATATTATTAATTTAATTGATTTATAGTTTCAGAAGGTCATTAGATGAATCAGGTAAGATATTCAGTCCTTAATGTTTTTATTTTATCAATACTTTATTATATATATATACCTTATATATCTATATTTATTTATTTTTATAGATCTTAATGAAATGAATCAAGATGATGAAAATGATATTGAATGAAGTTTTCTTTTCAATTAAAGATATTAGTTTAACTAAATAACATTTTTAAATTATCTTTTTATGTATGGTATATTGGTTAAAAATAAATTTTAAATGGTTATATTTAATAAAAATCAATGATTATTAATGACATTAAATATATTATTTTAAGTCAAATCTAATTAGAAAGCTTAACAAACATGTGTAAATTAGACAGAATTATTGCTAGATAATATCATCTGGGCAATAATTTATTCTGTATATCCTAACGAAGTTTTATCACTAACAAACATTTTAAATGATTTATAGGTAAAAATAAAATCTGGAGTTTGATGACTTGAATTGTCTTGGAGTGAAAGAAAACTAAAGAAGTTGAAAGTGAAAATAACTCCAAAATTAAACTCGATAATAAACCACTGCGGGAACTTTGAAATGCTGTATACACATTTAATGGCGTTAGATTTTTCCACAAACAGGAAATTTAGTCACAGATATAAAAGGGAGTAGTACTTTTATACACTTATACAGTTATACTATTATCAGTTACTTGTAAATGAATATTCTTAAATTTTTGTCTGTTTGTTTGAATTTTCATTTTATGACAATAATATAGTATAACGATTTAATTTAAGTAAAAATATTGAGTATGCCTGAGATAATTATTTTTTATTTCATGGAGTCACTGGAATATCATGATTTTCACGGCTGCATCATGAAATAACTATTACTTACTTTATTGTTTCATTATTTTATTATTTGCAATAAAAAAATATTTCATATAAGTTTTATCACTAAAAATTTACAAGCACATAAACTAAAAAATATTTTACACTAATACTATTTGAATACTAATATGCAATTACATATATATATGGTTATAAAATTTGTTATACATCTTGATTTTGCTAATATATAATCATAAAAATCTTCAATTTTTGTCTATCATCTCTATTAACTAATATATATATTCTAATATATTATAATGATTAAATAAATGAGACAAGTGAAGTTTTCAGGATAATCATAATAGCAACAAGAAAAAAGATTACCTGTTCTCGTAAATGTTTTCAGTTCATAGAAGTGGTTATCTGAAAGAGTGCACTGGATTCACAAACGTGAATAAGATAATTTCGATGCTTTTAGTGTAGACAAAATGTTTCAAATAATACTACATCTACAATAAATTAATATACTCAATCATGACGGTCAATGTATCAGTACGATCAATCATATATATCCATTTCGGCAGGTAGTAAGTAAGTAACGGAAATTGGCTAAGTGAGTAACGTAAAGTTACTAATTTAGGTTAATTTACGTTACTCCCCTTAATTAAGGCACGGAACGTAAGATAAAATTTTTTTACCTTCCATATCTAGCACCACGTGATTTATATTATCAATTTTTGCATATTATTTATCTTAGTAAAAAATTTATTTTAAAAAAAATATTAGAGTTGATTTTCTTATGCCTTTAAATATAAAAAGAAAATTGATTTTATACTTTTAAAATTATAAAAATTATTTATTTTAAAACAAAATTATTTATTTATTATTTATTAATAAAAATAAAACAAATAAAAACATAACAGATAAGTTTTATTGAATTTAATTAATGTCTTTATTATTTATAAACTAAAATACAGTAAATAAACGCGTTACGCGTAACACGTCCTAATATTATTATGAAAATAATTACAACTCCACAAATATGAAAGCAAAACCCAGTAAAAATAGATCCTTGAGTAATCCATACCTATTAAACAGCTTTACTTATCTCCAAAAGACAATTAACTTTGACAAAGATATCAAAACTATGCTCTAAATTTTTTGTACCAAAAAATAAAACAGTTAATATAGTAGTTATTAGTTAATAATATGACAGGTAGTTTAATAAACAAATTTTATACCTAAATAATTGTTCAAACTTAATTGTCCTTGACTTTTCTATCTTTTTATAAGATTTTGTTTGACATTAAAAGAATTAAAAGAAGGGAAAAAGAAAAAACGAGGGAGAGTTGCAAAATTATTGTTGAAAAATGTAAACAAATAGGCTGATCGTGATGTGCCACAAAAAATCACTTACATTGTCACGTGAACCATATAAGATACGTAACGTAAGATAAAAAAAATTTCACTTTACGTTACGTGCCTTATATTAAGTGGAGGAACGTAAATAAATCATGTGACTTTACGTTACTTACTTAGCCAATTTCCGTTACTTACTTTCTATATATTCTATCCATTTGAAGACAACTAACTATATATATAATAAGGTTTAAAATATTTAAATACTTTAATATAAGTATGTTTAAGAACCCTTGAAGAAACAAACAATACAATAATTCGATTTCATAGATAATCCATAAATTACAACTTCATGTGCAATTCCACTTATGGGTTGATCAGAAATGGAAATAACTCGTATGACTAAAATATTTAATTCTTTTTTGCAAATATTTGTTTTCACTAAAACCTCTGACTAAAAACATTGCTGGACAACAGCGTTCTTATTTATTTGTTGTGTACGTATCAAATTAATAATTCCGTTATAGTTAATATTAATTACCCATTCTTCCATCCATTCTCTGCCTGATTCACTAACATATTGCAATAAACTTGGAGCAATATTCCCAATATCTAGTTCATAATTAAATTCTCTATTATCTCCTGTGAAAGGTTCTTTTACGTTTTTACGGAATTTGAACCAGAGATTGAAATTCATCATAATTATTTTCGACTAATAGATCCATAGACAACATCCAAGTATTCTATATAAAAACGATAAATTCTTTATCTACAAATGCACTTCCACAGGAAGTCTCCACTACGTTCGGTAACCTCACTTAATTGTAATTGATTATTTCCAACTAACTTGCGAGTAGTTAAATCTAAAGTACCACCACCACAGTCAACAACCACAAAAGTCGCTAAATATTTAAAAATTAATCAAATTAATAAAATAATTCCTTTTAATTAACGTTCATTATAATACCTTACTTCCTATGCTTAACAAATCACGCAATAAACTGCTGCAGCTTCCGCTGTAAACATAAAAATTAGTTCATCCATTAATTAAAACTAGAGATTCAAGTTCTTCTCTTATTACTAGATTTTTCGAATATTTATCATTGATGAGATTTGCATTATATGCTCAATAGCATTATATATTCTGCAGGAGCAGTAAGAACCAATAAAACATTTTTCAAAGAAATTAATACTCCAGCGGTTGCGATTGTATCTTTAATGACCTTAATATTTCATTAATTTATATCATACTCTGAAAGAATTTAATTGTTAATCAGTAATTAAAAGATATAGAAATTTAAATTTATAATATAAATAAGAAATTAAAAATATATTATCCATATTAGATAGAAGTATTTGTGTTTAAAAAAAAAATTCAGAACCTGAGATTTATTCTTATAATTCATAATTACATGAATATATAATCATTTCATTATATAATTGAATTATTTACACGTTTATATCTTTAATAACCTTTTCAATTTTATATTTATCAAACAGTTTCATATATAAATTATCTTTTCGATAAAAATAAGCGTTATCAAAATATAAGGAAACTGCAGGTCGTCCTTTCCACTTTTCAAGGAATGTTTCTAAAGTTTTTAAAGAAAACTTAATATCATAAGGAATTCTAATATCTCTTAGATTAGTTGATGCTTCCCTAATTAACACATTTGACAAGTAATCTCCAAATTCTAACTCTCTCCCTTCTTCATAATATACTTCTTTAAAATTTAATGATCGTAAATTTTGACATTTTTTAAGTAATTTTTCAAATTCAATAAAGTGATTCTCCGATAATGGAAATACAGGAATTGATAAATATTCAATTAAATGACAATTTTCACAAATTGTACGAATAAAATTAAGAGAGTAATTATAAAAATTATCATCATTCCGGTGAAAATCATTAATCCTTAATTCTCTAAGATATAAGCTATTTTTAACCATGCAATTAACTTGATAAATATCTATAAAATCTATTTCTAGGATCTCAAGGTTACGATAAGCCACCATTTCCAATTTTTTATTGAAATCATCATTATTTAGAAATATAGGAGAATTAATTTCTAATATTTTTAAATTATGAAGTTCTAGGATTGTATATTGTAGAAATGTATAATTACAATCATTGTAAATATCGTAAAAATTGATGGGATAATCAAACTGAAGGCTTATATCAAAATGTTTAAGAGTATTTGCATGTTTTTTTAATACGTTAAAAATTTCTGTATAAGGATCTTCAAATAATTCCCAATAATTATATTCTTTAAATTCATCTACCCATCTAAAATATTTTAAATTTTTTTGAAATTCGATTAACTTAGTAGTTCCATGATTAACTTTTACTAAGTTTTTATTAATAACGATTATTCTTTGTATTTGTTGACAAATATGCGCTAATCTGTAAAAGTACCTAGAATCAATCAATGTGTCACATGTTAATTCACAAAGTGATTCAAGACGAACCTTTGCTTCTGGAAGATATACTATCTCATAGGTACCACATATATTTAAGTACTTTATTTCTGGACATTTCTTTACCAATAAACTGTAAATTTCCTCTTGTAAAAGAA